TTTTTTAACTTTTTACGTTATTCTACTTTTTGTCGCTTATTGACTGTATTTTGTCACACAATTATTTTTCTCTTTCTTCTGTCTTTCTCTATTTATTTTGTTTCTATCTTTAAAATGTATCATGAATTTCATAATTAAAATTGGGTCTAAAAAAATTATTTTTTTTAATAGTTGCAGCAGTGTTTTACTGCGATCTGGAATTAATTAAAAAATAAGAACAGCTTGTCAGCTTGCGCGTATTCAGTGAATTTATTTCCACATGCTGGTGCATTTCTCGTTTTATTCCGCAGTCTGAATGCTCTAACCCACGATAAAGTACAAAAGTACATCGTACGAAATACAACGATCGCTTGTCATTACTGTTTGCGTTGTCACAGAAACTGGATCGGTCATTTGATATCGCAGACGGTATTCTCTCGAAATTCGAGCGTACTGTATTAATATTAAATTCCACCGGATTTGCCTAGCCAGCGATAGCCGCGAAAATTACACGCCCGAATGCAGCCGATAAGGCATCGATCAATTTATTACTAAACTGTTTTGTAACTAAGATAATTGTAAAATTTCTGTTACAATTCGATCAGGTTATCTTTACATTAAGATTCCGAGATTTGTTCTCATTTTTTTGTAGTTAGTTTCTTTTGTATTACATTTCAAAATTAAATAATTTTGCGAGATAAGCGTATTATTTCTTTTATCACAGATTTCTTAAATGTAACAAACTTGACAAAAATTAAATAAAAAATTGAATAAATTATAAATTATTAGCATTAATTATAACTTTGCTATTTGATATGCAAAACATTTTATAAATGTACCAAGAAAAGCGGGCTTTTTAATATGCGAATAATAAACAAGTTTGTCATTATATTTTAAATTGTTAAAAATTTTTATCAAAATTTATTCTTAACAAAAAACAAAATATTGTATTTATGGAAAACTCTGTTTTTGCAAGTACCTGTATTTACGGATTAAAACAATCCGAGGAATTCGCGATTCATTCGATGTATCGGAGTATCGCACCATACATCGATTGCGGTTATATTACAGCGATTAAATCAAACACGCGATATCCAATTGTGCATTGCTTTTGACGTCGAAGCGCAATTAATTTTATAATTTAACGGTGAATAAATAGTGAGCCAATGCGTTTTGTTCGTAAATAAAACAATAGTAAAGCGTGGCCTCCTAATTCATAGAATTGATTAATGCCGCGATGGAAGATGCTTGCAAAATATCCGAAAATAATGCGAAGCGAAAATAATATCGTTCCAATCGCCATACATGCGTAAAACAAAGATAATTTCTTTTATGCAATAAATATTTCATCGTAAATTATTATATTTTAACAATACTGCTTGTATGATTCGCTTTAATCGTCTTCAAAGTAAGTTATGCAATTCTCT